TATTGCCTCACAAGCGATCCTGCAATCGGGAATGGCTGCAGTGTGAGGAAAGGGAAGGAAGAGAGGAGTTTGCAGGGACTGGAGGAGAGAAGGTGGAAGACGGCAGAGAGCGAGAGTCAGTGAAGTTTATATTCCACATTGTTCTCCCGGTGTGGTCAGATTTTTTCTTAAATAACGCCATTAATTGTTGGGCTGAGGGTCTTATTCAGACTGGTTGAAGGTTTAGCGATGTTCCAGCCAGTGGGTCACTGATAACCGGAGACGTGTTGGGTGCGCGGACGTGTCACTGTCGCTGAGATAGTATCACTGGTGAGAATTGGGACTGTATCTGCTGCGTTGGTCTGTGTGCGACGGGGAGAGGGATATTAATCTGTGACGATCACAGTGTTACACTGGGCAATAAACTGTCCATGTAAGCTTGATGTACTGATGAATAAACTACACCTAATATTTGCAGCCATCAACGTGGAATACTTTGCCTTTTTCATTAATATCTTAATTTATTAATATTTATTATCTTATTAGTATTGGGTCTTGAGATTAATAGTCCAGACTGACAGTCCAGTGAAATGTCCAGTGAGTGCTGAATTATCGGAGGTGCCGTCCATCGACTTTTCGGATCGAGGAAAGATCTGTTTTTTGCGCCTATTTTAGAATTATTATTATTTTATTATTATTATTATTATTTTAGATTATTTGTGGAGTCCTGTAGCTCAGTGGATAGAGCACTCGCCTCTCAAGCGAGAGACCTGGGTTTGATTCCCGGCAGGGTGGCACCTTCGGCAAATTTCCTTACCCCACACAGCCTAATAATAATCCCTCAAGAAAAAAAATAATAAATCGGTCACTTCAACCCACGACTGTTTGTGGGACGTTGCTGTGCGCAATTGGCTGCCGCGTTTCGCCCACAAATATACAGTCAATTCACTTTACAGTCTATTCTGTGAAGCGCTTTGAGACGTCGAGAAGACGTGAAAAGCGCAATATCAAATGCGAGGATTATTATTACGTCGAATGAAGACACTGTCAAAGGAAACACATACCATCCATTACCAGGTTAGAGGGGAATCTCATCAGATATCAGAGAACAGAACATTGTGATATTAACTAATCTGTGTGTGCAATATCAGATTACAGAACATTAATAATATCAAATACTCACTGTGTGTGTGAGATACCAGAGTACAGAACATTAATAATATCAAATACTCACTGTGTGTGTGAGATACCAGAGTACAGAACATTAATAATATCAAATACTCACTGTGTGTGTGAGATACCAGAGTACAGAACATCAACAATAATAAATATATTTACATTGTGGATTAAGCCTTAGATGGCACAATGTCTATTATTTCTCATTCGATGGCAGTTTTTACGGAAGACTTTCGTCTCTCATGGAATACTGAACCATGACTCGAATACCCAGAAAACTGATATTAACTCTTTCAGCCTTTTGGTCCCAGAATTTCATGCCATCGATGCGCTAATTAGCACACGACAGAAAATGTACTTGTTTTTTGTGCTGCGCTTATTGTGAGGTGTGAGATGAATCATCTTTGGCCCAACAAGGTGTGTGACGCCTGAGACCATCCTGTCAACAGGAACTGAAGCCCCACAGGGACAGCAAACACTCACTGTGGCTATTTTCACGCAATGTTTTCGGAAATTATCACAATTGTCCCTTCTCCGTTAGTTCGAACACAGATGGAGAATACCTACAGGAAGAGCGCGGCTGACTGGATCCTCTCCTGGGCAGATAGTCATCGATTTCTGCATAAATTCCTTGCTGTAATCCTCGGCCTCCGGTCCCTGGAATCACAAATAACAACCCTTGTATTTTACGGCACCTCATTCAAAAACATTCCTGAAACACTTGGGCTGTTTCTCGATAAAGTTTCTGTTTCCACGTTTTGATTATTAGTCTCAAGTTTCAGCTCCGAGCCCCACATCGTCCTGTTATTAGCTTTCTGAGGCGCTATCCGGTGTGGATCGGGCTATATAAACACAAGTGTATACTGGTCATTACTATCCAGTACCTATGCAGTTCGTTTCCTCTCTCACAGTTGTCTCAACGTCCGTCTAACCACCATTTTCACCCGTCCCCACAGCCCCCACCCGTCCCCCAGAAGATCCTTGCCGTCAGTGTTAAACCCTGCGTTGTCTTGCTCCGCTCTAACTCTGTGACCTCCTTAAATCTGACGCGACTGCTCGGTGTGCCCTCGCCTGCTTCACCCGCCCGGCCCCACATGCCACGCAACTGGCACTCCGGCTTTCAGACTATCTGCCCGCACTCCATCCTGGAAGCCCACCCACTTGCCCCCTCGCTAATCCCTTTAAGGCTCCCTCTCAACACCTTCCTCTTTGACCACGACTCTGATCATCTTTCCCCCGCTCACCCGCACATGCCCCACAACCCCAGCTTGGCTGCCACCCACGACCGTCAAACACATTGGAACATCCTCCCCACATGAAAGGCGCCGTGTGAACGGCAATATGTATTTGGTGAACACAAACAGTATCTTGTGCGAAGCGACGTTTAAAAGCCGATCGATGTGGCTGGGGCTTGAGGGGGGTGGGCGGGGGGAGGTTGGGGGGTAACGTCAGGGCGGGCGTTCTGCGGCGAAGAGATCGGTTGAGCCGAAAGCTTCATCGAAACCATTGTGTGATCTTGTGACTCGGTCTCAATACCACACGTGGGAATGAATTCCAAACGCAGACAATCAACTCTCACAAAGTGAGTGAATAAACGTCCCCNAAAGTCTCCCCTGATGTCGTGCTAACAGAGCCGTGACGACCCCTCGTCACCGACTCCCTCACTGATACAGTTTACTCCCCAGCGCAGCTCTGCCCGACTCCAGGGCACGTGTCGGGCTCTCACCTCCTCTGGGCACGTGGAGTTTGACTTGTGCGGCGAGCGCCATCAGCACGAAGGCCAGCAGGGCTCCCAGGGTTAGACACACGGCATCAGGTGTGGACATCACCGGGACTCTCTGCCCTCTGTGCCCTGTGCGACGCAAAACACAACAGTCACAAAACGGCAGTAAAACAACAACAATAATCCTTCCATGTGGTCCAGAGTCCTCCACATTGGGAGGGGCTTTATACAGTCACGCAACAACAACAGGTTATCCTGTGAAGCGCCTTCAGGCAGTTTGATGACGTGATAAGGCATTGTATCAAATGAGAATATGGTGATGATTATGTGTGTAAAGTGACCCCACAATTTACAGTAACATTACAGCAAAACGCGCCACATTGAGGGAGAAGGGGGAGCCTACCAGAACATATCACACCGGCGTCCTCTTTGTGTCCGCAGTCACTGAGGGGAGCGGATGAGGAGACGCAGTCCCACAGCGAGGATTCGCCTCCCGTACACTGCACCTCATCCAACCACACAGGCCCGGAGCCCTGCCCGGAGCCCGCCTCTCGCACAGCCCGGAGCGCCGAGCCACACTGGAGATGTCTACAGACCACGTTGGCATCGCGCAGGTCCCAGGAGTCATCACACACCGTCCCCCACGTGCCATCGTACAGGATCTCAACTCTCCCCGAGCAATTACTGCTCCCACCGACCACCCGCAACCTCTGTCCTGAAAACACCAACATCACAGTGTGACTGACCGGCTGGTACAGTGGCTCGGGTTTGGGCAGAGCCCATCACACAGCACAATGTCTCAGAGAGATTCACAAAGACGCTGGTCGCTGAGCAAGCGGGAGATGGGGCAATGGAGGTCATCAAAGCCATTGGTTCAGAGGAAGGTGTCAAATGGGATTGAAAGGTGCAGAAGGGGTGGAGACGGAGAGGTGGAGGGAGGGCGGCAGTTTCAGAGTGTAGAGGCATCATAACTAACACCTGTGACTGGGGGTCGGGATTCTTCCCACTCAGATCCTGTTAACCCTACAGGTCAATGTCTTGACAGTTCACATCGTCCTCGCTGGACAAGCCGCGGGAAAGCTTACCAGGCAGTGTTTCAATGGCAATCTATGTGGTTTTAGTTGGTTGGACTCTCGCGGTTACCTCAAGGCACACTCTGGAATCCCTAAGCCTCGGTTCTTGCCAATCTTGTCAAATTAATTGACAATTGGGACTGATGCCCTTTCTCTATTCTAATCAATACCCTCGAGGTCCCCTCTTTAGCTTTGCAGGGACAGGACTCTGCATTTACGGGCACCCAAACCATGTTCCACTGTCAGCTGCCAAGTTGTCAAGATAGTCCACAGACTATCCTCCGGGAGGGGGAAGAGGGGATAAGCAAGGTTTCCTTGCAGCTGAATCGGCTCCAAGATGACATGTTTGGCAATGGAATGTCATGTTCGAGCCAACCCTCCGTGACGGTATCTATTTCATCTCCTGAGCGAGGCGGGTCTGTAGTATACCGGGCACTGCTGATGGAAGCGCAGCCCAGCATCGCTCATTGGCAGGACCTTGATGGGTAGGCCAGTCACTGCGGTCAGGGAGTCATCTCAATCAACTCCTGTTAACCCTCCAAGCCAAACTCCTCATGGGTAGGAGAGATGCTGGACAAGCGTCGGGAAAGCTTGCCAGAGCGATGATGAATAGAATCCGGCAGTTACCGAGAAACTCAATCTGGTTTCCCACTCTTGGCTTCAGCCAACCTTCGCCTAACGCTTTCCGGAATTAGAAAGCAGGATGTGGCACTCCTTGGACTGAGTGCGCAATCCATTCCAACTGTCTATCTCTGGAATTTCCATGTGTAAGTGAGATGCTTTAACTTCTCAGTTTGGTTTGGATACTCCTAAGTTTGGTGATGGTGATTGTCAGACTCCCGGCTGAACAAAAAANTATTCGAGATGATACCACTATCGCATGAGATTCCCCGACTTAGTCCACGAGCAGCAAAATAACATACACAAACAGAAGGGCCGCAGTCCTGTCAGACAATCTGGAACAGGTGACCGACTGAGTCAAGGTGACATCTATTATCACATTGGCTTTACAATACAATAAATCACGTACCTGCTAATCGGTGGTATTTAGGAGCAGGTCCCGCACACACTTGTGGATTCTCCACACTTTCCCCAAACTTCACTTCTGTAATAATACATGTGGACCAATTCAATCAGTGACATAATATTGGCAGAAAATGCTCAAACATCACGGATCCAGGAAATCAGGATGTAGCTTTACAGAGGCCAAAGGATTACATGGAGGGCTGGAAGGGACAAATAGCCATGTAATAAGGAGTAATCCAGAAAAAAGAGGGATGAGATGGGGGAGAAATGCAGAACAGACTAAGTCGGACTGGAGTGCATGTGTGTAATTTGGAGTGTGCCAAATAAGATTGGTGACCTGCGGCTCAAGGAGCCACATGAGGTTATGTTGGAGTGGCAATAACGGAGAACTGGTTCAAACAAGGGCAGGAATGGGAGCTGAATATTCCTGGTTACAATGTACTCAAGAGGGATTGGGAAGAGAAAAGATAAACGGTGTGTGGGTGGCAATGTTGATTAAGGACACGGTGACGGCCCTGGAAAGGGACGGTGTGTTAGATGTAACACAAACTCTATTTGGTTAGAGTTAAGGAGCAAAAAGGAGCTGTTACTCTGTTAGATGGACAACATAGATCACAAAATAGTGGGAAGGAGAGAGACGAGCAAATCTGCAGCAGATTTCAGAAAGATGCAAAACCAATAGAGTAGTGATAATGGGAGACTTCAATTATCCGGACATAGACTGGGAAAATAACAGTGTAAATGGCAACGAGGGGGAAGGATTCCTGAAATGTGTGCAGGATAACTGTCTGGATCAGTGTGTTTCCAGCCCAATGGGGAAGGAAGGAATGCTGGAGCCAGAACTGGGGAATGAAATGGGACAAGTGGAGTATGTTTCAGTGTGAGATCATCTGGACAACAGTGATCACAGTATCATTTGGGTTCGAGTACTTATGGAATGGGAAAAGGAGCAATCAAGGAGCCGGCACGGACACGATGGGCCGAACGGCTGCCTTCTGGGCTGTATACTTCTATGATTGTATGATACTGTCATCACATTGTTGAAAGATTGAAACACGTTTTATTACCTGAACAGACGACACCCGCATCTTCCCAATGATCACAGTTGTTTTCTCCCCAAACTGTGGAGGTGCACTGCCACAGGAAGTCCTCGTGTGAAGTACACTCCATGTTGTGCAGCCAAATAGGTCCGATCCCTGGTCAAACTCCCGATAGTATTTAACAGACTGAAGTGGTCCACAGTTGAGCTGCTTACAGATCACCTTAGCAGCTTTGCTGTCCAGAGTGTCCGAGCAAACCGTACCCCAGGTTCCATTGTAAAGCACCTCCACTCTCCCCTCACACGCGTGCTTCCCATTCACCAGCCTCAGCTCCTTGTGCTCTGTAAAGTGATAGCAAACACAGATAATCAACAACAACGATTCGCATTGAAATAGCACCGTTCACATCAAGTAAACTGGACAGTGAAAGGTTTGCACCCGAGCTGGGGATTGGCGTCACATGGGCTGATGGCAATGGCCTGGACTTCCAAAGGTTTGGGCCAGAATGGGTAAAGGCTCAACCACCTTTGGCGGGCGGGGCGGGGGACGTGGCGCAGGCCAGGGAATGGGAAGGGTTGGTAATGGTTTAGTTAGTTGCAGAGGTTGGGAGATGCAAGATCGTGGAAGACTTTAAAAATGAAAAGACCATCTTGAATTCGATGGATGGAGAGCCAGTGGAGCCGGGCGAGGATGGGGCTGATGGGGTCATTAAGCTTAAGGCGGGAGAAGACGTGACCTGCAGAATTCTGAACCATCTGCATCTTGTGGAGGGAAGAGTTGAAGGTGACAAGTTGACAGTTGCCAAATCCAGGATGTGGGTTTCCATATGTGACCCCCAAACACTGTTCTTCCTGTAAATTTACTGACATAATAATCTCCATGTGCTTCAGCGCCCATCACATCAGGGAGATGTTCCACTGTGATTCACAGGATTTACTGTAAAATGCAGTCATAGCCTTGAATGGCTAATATATTTGGGGGATTGTTAGCCGGGACACCGGGAGGAACTCTCTTCTCTTTGGGATTTTGAACAACACAAGTGTCAACGGATCTGAGATCCAACCCACATGAAGGGTGATATACAAATGGAAGTTGTTGTTGTTGGAATAATGCTGTGGAATCTTTAACATCCACCTGAAGACATCGGTTTAACATTTCATCCGAAGGACGGCAACACCGACAAGGCAGCACTCCCCCAGCACTGGACTGGAATGTGAGCCTCGAATGTGAGTTCACGGTGAAGTTCACTGTCTGAATGCGAGGAATTGAACCCACAACTGTTTGACCTACAGACAAGAGCGCCGCATACAAATCCATGTCACACGTGTGACCGCGTGGTTCAGCGATTTTATTCCCGTCTCTGAGTAAAATGTTGTGGGTTCCAATCCCACGATGGGACTTGAACTTGTGTCGTCTAAGCTGATGCTTCAATGCATTGTTGGGGGTGTGTTTCATTGTTTGAGATGCCGTCCACCAGGTGAAACTTTAATTAAGGTCACGTCTGCCTGTTCAGGTGGGCGTTAAACATCATACACCTCTATTCGTAAAAGACCTTATCCTGGTGACTTGGCCATCAATCCACCAAATAAAGTTGTTCCCTCTTTACATCGCTGTTTGTGGGACAATGCTACACCCAATTGTGCTGATACGTCAGCCTAAAGCCTACACATACACAGTCAATCGATTCACCTGACAGTATATCATGTAAAGCGCTTTGAGACGTCCTTCTGACATGACAATGTCACGCGATAGCAAATGCAAGGATTATCATTATCATAAATAATAAACCATATATTGTCACTGTGTTGTGGTCACCGCAATAAAAAGGATATCGCAGCAATTGAGAGGACACAGATGATGGCAACGAAAATGATTGAGGAGATGGAGGGACTGAACTACGAGGAGCGATTTTATAAACCGGCCATATTTACACTGAGGAATGAAGGTTGACACACAATATGGCGGCAGTGTTTAAGATTCTGAAGGGAACAGACAATCTGGACCTCGATAAGCTGTTTTGTCTTGTGCTAAACCGTGGAACCAAAAGACATGGCCTCCGATTGAAGACGGTAAATTCAGAACAAATCTTCGGAAACACGACTTCCATGAGTGAATCGTAGACGTATGGAACCGACTCCCGAGGGAGACAGTGGAAGCAGAATCTGCCGTTTGTTTGAAGAACAAATTAGATAGATTTCTGCTAAAAAATAAGATATCAGTATAGAGTGTACAGTATGGGACAAGATATGTCAAACCACTACCAGGACGGTAAAGGGCAAACTAGATGGACCTTGAGATTCTTTGGCCAACAAATTCTTATGTTCTTTCTCAATGTAATTTGTTTGAAGAACTCTGAGAAGTTTTGATGCTGGAGGTGCTATAAAGAGCAATTTGCTTCTTCAAACTACAACACTAAATAAATGTGTGTCAGAGCCCGAGGACCAATCTCTTACCTGAGCAGACGATGCTGACGTCCTCTTTATGAAGACAGTTGTGCTGTCCCCACGGAGCTGAGGGACACTCCCACAGAACAGATTCATTTCCCGCACAACTCAGCTCATCCAACCAAATGGGCTCCGAGGCACGTCCACAGGAGCCGGGCGTGGTGTCAATGACTGCCCCACACCCCAGCTGTCTGCAGACAACGGCGGCCTCTCGAGCATCCCAGGAGTCATCACACACCGTCCCCCAGCTCCCAGTGTAGTAGATCTCAACTCTCCCCGAACACCGGCTCCTGCCCCCCACCAGCCTCAACTGCACATGGTCTGTGGGTACAGCAATGTACAAACAGTAATGAGTGAGAGTGCCGGACAGGTACAAGATTGCCAGACGCGTGTGGGGGAGAAGCTCTTCATCCCATTTCACCTGTCTAGACTGCCACCAATGGTGTCTTCCACCATAGTGTCAATACGTTTCTTCAATAAGTTGTGTCCTGGATTGCCGGGCTCTCCAAAGCCTTTTGAGGGAAGATTTCCAAATTTTGACTACCCTTTCAGTGAAAAATACTGCGTCCATATTCCCCCCCGAAATGGCCCAGATCTCATTTCAGGATCAATCTCCCGTGTTCTGGATTTCCCCACCAGAGGAAATAGTTGTTGTGTGGCCGCCCTATCGAATCATTTTATTATTCTAAACAACTCGATCAGATCACCCCTCAACCTTCCAAACTCAAGCGAATACAGACCATCTTTATACAATCTGCCCTCTTAATTTAACCCTTTAAGCCCTGGTATCATTCTGCAGGATCTGTGCTGCACCCTCTCCAGATCCAATACATCCTTCCTGATGTGCGGTGCCCTAAACTGTAGGCGGTGCTCCAGATGGCGCCTGACCGGGGCTCCGTCGCCTTCACGGCCCTGCGCGTCCTTGCCCCATCATCCCTCAGTGACCGGCTAACCCCGTGTCAACCTGACTGCTCTCTCTGCTCAGCAGGTTCCGGGCTGTTCCACGTCCGCCACTCTGTCGGCCGCAGCATCTGTGGTCGGGCCCTTAGCCTCTCCGCCCCCACCCTTTGGAACTCCATCCTCCATTCCCTTCACGTCGCTCCCTCCCTTCCCTCCTTCAAGGCACGTCTCAACACCTCCTCTTCAAAACCTCCTACCCCTAGACTCCCGCCCTCCACCCTACATCATCCAATTGCCCCCCAAATCCAAATCCTCGACTGTACAGTGCCTTGGGACGTCCTCCTGACGTGAAAGTCTCTTTACCAATGTGATTGTTTATTGTATTGTAAGAGGTTGAAGCATCATTTCCTCTCCTCTCTACTCCGGGTCCCTTGAGATGAGGGCCAGCAGGACATTAACATTTGACAACGTTTAGCACCTGTGAGCTTGTTTTTAGTGATCTGTGGATGTGGACACCCAAATCCTTTGCTCCTCCACAGTTCTCAGTTGCTCACCATTTAGAGAACGTTACCGCTCTTCCCTCCCCCCCTCGGCATCGGGCTTGGCCACTGCTAACCCATCCCGGATGCTACTGCATGTGACGGGATGATATCAATGCAAGTTCTTGTCGTTGTTTGAACCTCACCTGAACAGAGCACTCCCACATCGCTGCCGACACTGAGAGGTGTGACCGGCCGGGAGACATTGCACGTGCTCAGACGTGTCTCGTTCCCTTCACACTGAACATTATTCAGCCTCACAGTGCCTCCGCCTTCTCCATATGTAGAAGAGTTATAGGCTGCGATTGCAGAGCCACAGTCCAGCTGTCTGCACACCACATTGGCATCGCTCAAGTCCCAGCCATCATCCAGGACTCTGCCCCAAGTTCCATTGGTGTAAATCTCTACTCGTCCATCACAGCGACTGCCACCATTGCTGAGCCTCAACAACCCGTCTTCACCTGCGGAGAGCACAACCCCCACTTCAGTGAAGAACATTTCACATTGAATGGTATGGAAACTCACACAGCGCCTTTACTGCAAAAGATGTAACTCAAAATTTGTATCTGATTGTTTGTTGGTCACCGCTGTGCGTAATTGTCTGACGCATTCCGCCCACAAGATATACAGTCACTACACATTACAGTATATTCGGTGAAGTGCTTTGAGACACCTCGAAGACTCAATAAGGAGCAATTATAGCATTTTGCACCTGTTTCTTCATTGAGTGTTTATTTTTTCTGTATCTCTTTTCGTATTCTGATCTTTGCTCTTTCTGTCCATCTGCGACCAGGTCTCCCTCTGCCTCCTCGTCCTCCTCTACCTCTCGGTGCCTTCGACACCGTCGACCACTCTATCCTCATCCACCACCTCTCCTCACACCTCAAACCTCACGAGTCTGTCCTTGTTCAGATCGTACCTCTCACACCTCCTCCACTTCAACTCCACAAATGGTTACTCCTCCAGCCCCTACTCTGTCTCGTTCAGCATTCCTCAGCGCTCTCTCCTTGGTCCCCTTCCTCTATATGCTCTCTCTTGGTGTCATCATCCTCAGATATGGGGTCAACTTCCATATGTATGAGAATGACACCCAACTCTACCTCTCTGCCTCCACCCGAGACGCCAGAGGCACTGCTGTCCTGACACAATGTCTGTCAGACATCAAGTCATGGATTAGAGCTAATTTTCTCCAGTTCAACGTCAACAAGTCCGAGGCTCTCCTGATTGGCTCCTGTCAGCGCCTCCTCACCTCAGGCGCTGAGAGCGTCACCATCCATGGCTCCACACTCCACCTTGCTAAGCCAGTCCTTTCTACCCCACATCAGCGCCATGACCCGCTCTGCCTTCCCCACCTCTGCAACATGGCCCGGCTCCGCCTGCGTCTCACACCCCATACACGCTTTCATTACATCGAGGCTTGACTATGCAAACTCATCGCTTGTCGACATCCCCAACTCCTCCCTCCATAGGCTGCAGATCATCCAGAATTCTGCAGCCCGTGTCCTCTCCCGCACCAGGATCCGAGACCCTATTACGCCCATCCTCGCCCGACTGCACTGGCTTCATATCACACAGAGGGTACAGTTCAAGATCCTGGTCCTCACCTTCAAAGCCCTCCATGGACTTGCTCCAATCTAACCCTGCGATTTCCTAAACCCCTACCTTCATGCTCGTGCCCTCCGCTCAGCGGGCTCCAGCCAACTCCAAGTCCCCCGTCTCGCTCGCACCACTATTGACGGGCTGAGCTTCTGCCACTCTGCTCCACCGCCTGGTGGTCAATCCCGCAGTCCCTCCACCTTGCCCCCTCACTTGCCTCTTCAAGACCCATCTCAAAAACCTCATCTTCGACCGTGCTTTGGATCTCCCTCCTTCCCCCTCGCCCTTCTCCCTCCCAAACCCCAACCCCCAGCCCGCGTCCGAAACTCTTCCTGTCCAGCGCCTTGGGCCGTCCTCATGACGCCGAAGTCTCCATACAAATGTAATTTTGTTGTTGCGCTGAAATCCTTCATTTCCAGTGCTGTTACTGTGTCTCTTATCAATATTGTTGAAACACAGAGTCCAAACCGGTCAGGGGGACGGGAGGGGCCGCGTGGGAAGGGATTTGGATGTGAAACATCTGTAAGAGATTTGGTACTCACTGGAACAGGTGACACTGACATCGTCCTCATGTGTGCAGGTGATCTGATCCCAGGACCCAACAGGACAGTCCCACAACTGTGTCTCGTTCCCCCGGCATTCGTAGTGGCTTTTCCAGATTATCTCACTTCCATTCCCAACATGAGCTCCAGCTTCTGCTGTCACGGCTGCTCCACACTGAAGCTGCTCACAAACCACATTGGCCTCTTGTAAACCCCAGTAGTGCCTACAGAGGGTTCCCCGTTGATTGCCGTACACGATCTCCAATCTGCCAGAGCAGAGGGTCGTTCCGCCAGTTAATCGTATCTGACGTTTTGCTATTGTGGACACAAGAAGGTGATATGAAACAGCGGTTATACGGCATCTCATTCCATCAAACCTCCTAACCCCTGACTTCATGCCCCTCCATGCTCTCAGCGGGCTCCAGCCTACTTTATCAGGGCCCAGTATCAATGCAAGTTGTTGGTGTCGCCCGGAGCAAACGCTGACTGTGGTAAACCGCTTTTAAATGTGATTTCTTAAACCGTGGACATTCCACACATACGTTTTGGTTTCAATGTTCCTTTTCCAGCGCAATCCTCTGAGCGGTACGAAATTTATGCTCTTCCCCCGACACACCGTAGATTTTACTGTTGGGTGCGAGGCTTAGAGCCTACACCGCTCGCTCTGTGGTCTCTGGCTGCCATCATGGAGAGACTCTGAGCCCAAACACCACTTCCAAACCCTGGTCTGCCCTACGCGCTATAGATCGAAAATGTCACCGATTTGAATCCATCGTCCACAGCAATTGGTTTACCCTTAGGTTTGTCACAGCGCCATTCAAATCACCAATACTTCTCAGAGCTCCGTGTGATTTGCTGTGAAGTGGACAGACGGTGTGTTTTATAGGTGAATGAGCAGCTGATTTGCACCCAGCGATGTGGATACAGTGACCTGCAAACAGCAACACACTTCGACATCCTCTCAGTCATTTGCAAATCCCTTGATGCCCAGCACTCCTTACCTACCCGACTTGGTTACCCTCTCCACCACCCGCTGTCTCCTCTCGGCCTGGTCCGGCCTCCTGATCCTCATTCACTCCCTCCTCTCCACCATCGCTGGCCGTGCTTTCAGCCTTTACACCCCGAAGCTCTGTAACTCCCTCCCTCAATCCCTCCCCCTTGTCCCTTCCATCCCCACTTTCAAATCCTACCTAAACCCCTTCCATTTTTGATCGTGCTTCATCCCACCTAAAGAGCTTCCTTTATCATCGTGCTTCCCCTCCCTCTCCCCCGGCTCGGGGATCCGACTGCACAGCGGCCAAGCAGTCCTGGACGCTATATAAATGTAAGATGCTGTTTTTGTTGTTCAGTCAGTACCTGAACAGTAAACACCAGCATCAGTCTCGTGTCCGCAGCCGGAAGGGCCAATGACAGTCCCCGACCCTTTTCCGAATTGGCCATCAACTGGTGCTGACGTTGCGAATCCACAGCCCAACTCTTTGCAGATAATTCCAGCCGTGTCCATGTTCCAGGCGGCTCCGCACACCGTGTGCCATTGACCACCAGAGTGCAGCTCCACTCTCCCCGAACACCGGCTGAATCCGTTCACCAGTCTGGGCTTTTTATCACCTGTCATGTCTGCAACACACAACCAATGCCAATCATTTTCAGTCATCTCTCCTCCTCCGCCCCCTTGTAATTTGAAACTTGTGTTGTTGGGATTGATCGTGTCCTGGAGATGTCTCTAAGCGCTTCGTAAAATATATGGTGAAGTGGATTGACTGTATTTTGGGGGAGAAATTCTTGTATCCACTCCCTATCAAATACGATCCCCAGTTACGTGCAAACCATTAAACCATTCACTGTGCAACACCTTGAGAGCTCCTCCCAACATATAAAGTTGTGTATTGTTTGTTTGTTTGTTGGTTTTGTGGTTTGATTGTTTTTACAAGAAGTACAAGAAGACATACAGTTGGAGTCTTAAAGGACAATTTCAGGACAGACACTAACTCGGTAGTGTTCTTTATCCTAAAGGTAGTCACTGACTGGAACAGTTTGCCAGGGACACTGGACTCATATGAAATGCCGGTCAATATAATGATTGGGGTGAGTGTTCTGGAGGGTGGAGACTGTATGGGCAAATGTCTTTCTAGATCTCGACACAATCTTGTGATCTTGCGAATTTATAATAACAGACGAATGAATTCTGTGATGTACCGTCACTATTGCTTCTTGGTTGGTCAATTCTTGAAAGTGCAATGAGATTTATTGTACGTAAGATAACAAGACTTTGCTTCCACCTGTGCAGATGACTCCAGCATCCCAGTCGTGGGAGTAACCTTCATGGTGGTTCCATTCCACGGAGGAACAGTTACTCAGAGCAGTCTCCATCCCTCCGCAGCTAACACCGCCCGTTATATGTGGTCCAGATCCTTCCCCAAACAACGCTTTTCCTGGTGCTGACACGGCAGCTCCACAGCCCAACTCTCGGCAAACAACCGCAGCATCCGGCAGATCCCACAACGGATCTCCCACTGCACCCCATCTTCCTCGGAAGTGAACCTCCACTCTCCCAGCACACCGGCTGCCTCCGTTCACCAGCCTCAACTTCACGCTCTCTGTAACACATCAGAAACCACAGTAAGAGACTGCGGTGCATCAAACTTCCAGCAGCAAAGCGAACCGTCCCCATCAGCCGCTCCCGGGTGACGAGACTGGCCACGGAATACGGGAATCAAAGCCAACGCTCTGCGGTGGACTCGGTTCAGTTCCCGATTGAAGCCAATCCACAGGCCTTCAGTCAAGGGGACACGATGCACACACGACAACAACAACTTACACTTGTTTTGCAGTCGCTTCAGAAAGATGTCCCAGTCAGAGAATTTGGACTCGATCTGAGCGCTGGGGTCAGGACGGGGGGCAGTGCAGGAGGGGTGGAGACGGGAGGATGGTCGAAGGCTCGGTCGAAGAGAACGTTATTTAGATAGTTCTTGAAGGAGGCAAGAGAGGGGATGAAGTGGGGGGATTGCGTGATACAGTTCCAGAATGTGGGGGCAGAGATGTTCAATGCCCAACCACCAATGGTGGAGCGGGAGGTGCGAGGGACCTGAAGTCGGCCGTTTCCGCTGAGAGGAGGGAGCGTATCGCTGTCGCTTGTGAGGCCAGTGATCCAACCACAGGTATTGGACTCCACGGAGCCCAGTGTGCAATCTTGGCATCCGATTCAACCCCCAGCTGTCCTTCCCCCCACATCCGGTCTCTCTCCAGGAATGCTTTCTTCCGCCTCCACCAAATTGCCCGCAACCCATCACACTTTACGCCAAATGCAGCCAAAGCCATCGCGTATGCGTCGGTCACCTCCTGTTTGGATTAACCCAACGATCTCCTCGCCGGTCTCCCCACTACACCATTCACAAGGTCCAGCTCATTGAAAACTCTGCCGCCTGTACACTGACCCGGACCAAACTCCACACCAACATCTCACCAGTTCTGGCCGGGCTCCGTTGGCCAATTACCAAATCGATTGACTTCGAGGTCCTCACACTCGTGTTCAAATCCATTCACTCCCCGGCCCCTCCCTACGTCTCCGAGCTCCTTACTCCCCAATCCGTCACCCGGCGCCTCCGCTCAACTGGCACCGGCTCCTGCTTGTACCTCGCAACCCTCCGCCCCGCCATCAGCGGTCGTGCTTTCAGCCACTACGCCCCCAAACTCTGGAATACTCTCCCTCAAACCCTCCGCTTTGCCCCCTCTCTCCTCTCTTTCAAGTACCGCCTGAAAACTATCCCCTTCGATCGGACTGACGGCCTCCTCCCCCCTTCCCCCCAACTCGGAGTCGAGCTCCACCACTGTTAAGCGCTCTCATATAGTGCCCTCCACACAGGATAGCGTCTGAGAGTGCAAGTTGTTGTTGTTGTTGTTGTAAGACGGTGAAGGAATCATACAACGGATGCAAATAGAGAGTGACTCACCTCCCGCGGGAGACTGACAGTCCACATAACCACCTAAACCAGAAAACAAGGGGTCAATAAACAGAGTCTCAGAAATATCCAAGTCTGAAGGGGAGAGTGTGTGGGGAGGAAGGGGAGAGTGTGTGGGGAGGAAGGGGAGAGAGTGTGTGGGGAGGAAGGGGAGAGAGTGTGTGGGGAGGAAGGGGAGAGAGTGTGTGGGGAGGAAGGGGAGAGAGTGTGTGTGGGGAGGAAGGGGAGAGAGTGTGTGGGGAGGAAGGGGAGAGTGTGTGGGGAGGAAGGGGAGAGTGCGTGTGGGGAGGAAGGGGAGAGAGTGTGTGGGGAGGAAGGGGAGAGAGTGTGTGGGGAGGAAGGGGAGAGAGTGCGTGTGGGGAGGAAGGGAGAGAGTGCGTGTGGGGAGGAAGGGGAGAGTGCGTGTGGTGAGGAAGGGGAGAGTGCGTGTGGGGAGGAAGGGGAGAGTGTGTGGGGAGGAAGGGGAGAGAGTGTGTGGGGAGGAAGGGGAGAGTGTGTGGGGAGGAAGGGGAGAGTGTGTGGGGAGGAAGGGGAGTGTGTGTGGGGAGGAAGGGGAGAGTGTGTGGGGGAGGAAGGGGAGAGTGTGTTGGGGAGGAAGGGGAGAGTGTGGGGGGAGGAGGGGTAGAGAGGGGTGTGGGGGTGACGGGGAGACGGCTGTGGGTGGGGAGGAGGGGTAGAGAGGGGTGTGGGGGTGACGGGGAGACGGCTGTGGGTGGGGAGGAGGGGTAGAGAGGGGTGTGGGGGTGACGGGGAGACGGCTGTGGGTGGGGAGGAGGGGTAGAGAGGGGTGTGGGGGTGACGGGGAGACGGCTGGGGGGGGAGGAGGGGTAGAGAGGGGTGTGGGGGTGACGGGGAGACGGCTGTGGGTGGGGAGGAGGGGTAGAGAGGGGTGTGGGGGTGACGGGGAGACGGCTGTGGGTGGGGAGGAGGGGTAGAGAGGGGTGTGGGGTGACGGGGAGACCGGGGTGTGTGCGGCTGAAGGAAAGGCTAAACTGTGATGAGCAATGAATCTGGAGATTGAGGGTCGGACACAGAGAAACTCTCTTCTCTTTGCCAATAACTTTGTGGAATCTTTAACATCCACCGAACCATTGAGATCTCGGTTCAAGGTCTGACCCGAATGACAGACTATTTAGGAATGTTATGCAGAGACGTGTTGTGAGCGGAGACGGACACACACACACACGCGTGTGCTCAACCACACGCAACCACTCAACCCGAACCCTAACACAGTCACACACACACAGATACACACAAACACGCACACAGACACACACCCACACAGTGAGACACACACACAACCACTCAACCCTAACCCTAACACAGTCACACACACACACAGATACACACAGACACGCACACAGACACACACCCACACAGTGAGACACACACACAACCACTCAACCCTAACCCTAACACAGTCACACACACCCACACAGTGAGACACACACACAACCACTCAACCCTAACCCTAACACAGTCACACACACACACATACACACAAACACGCACACAGACACACACCCACACAGTGAGACACACACACAACCACTCAACCCTAACCCTAACACAGTCACACACACACATACACACAAACACGCACACAGACACACACCCACACAGTGAGACACACACACAACCACTCAACCCTAACCCTAACACAGTCACACACACACACAGATACACACAAACACGCACACAGACACACACCCACACAGTGAGACACACACACAGGCAGTCACGCAAACCAGCTTTGTGTCTCTCACACGCAAACATATAAACACACGTAAATACACACGAACACTCAGTCACTAACACACCGTACACCATCCCACACAGTGAGACACGCCTCCAGCACACACACAAACACGCTTAGTCTCTCACACACACACACAAACAAACACCCCCCACACCCCCCCCCCCCACACACACACACACATACCCCACCCCCATACATACACACACACAACGCCCCCCACACACACACACACACATCCCCCACCCGCATACATACACACACAAACCCCCCCACACACACACACACAAACAAAACCCCCTCCACGCCACACACACAAACCCCCCCCACACACACAAATCACCCCCCCAATACACACACACACACACACAACCCCCCCCCCACACACACAACACCCCTCACATACACACAAACCAACCCCCCCCCATACACACACAACCCCCCCCACACAACACCCCACACACACACAACCCCACAACCCACACACACACAGATACAGGAATACAGACAGTCACACACACACAGTGAAGCCGTGAGCAGTTACAGTCAGACTGAGCCCCAGTGACGTCTGAAATGGGGAAACCACAGACACATTTGCCCAAAAGCCGTTCATATAATAAAC